CCACAGAATTACAGACAGTCATCCTTCTCTTTGCTTTCAGTGGATGGACAATAGCCAGGTACCTGTTCACACTTATACAGGTGAGGAATCCAATGCTGCCGTATAAATTCAAGTTGAAGCAGAATCTTGTGGTCTTGCAGAAGGCATCTCCAAATATCCATTTATTCTTCATAAAGTAGTAGGCTGTTAAAAATGGAAGAGTTGGCAGGAACAAAAAGTTAGCAATTCCAAGGTTCAGAAGAAAAACATTGATGTATCCAAGACTTTTCCATTTCTGAAGCAGAGACTTCAGTCCGCATACATTAGCTCCCAGACCAATGATGAACACAAAGGTGTAAATAGCAGGCAGAGTTACATGTTCATAGACTGAACGAAACCATTCAGTCGTATTCATTCTGTCTCCTAACATGTTGTCCACACTGCTCTCCTCTGTGGCGGAATTAAAAGTGAAAGAAGTGGAAAGAATAAGATCAGATGTACATGTTCCTCCTGCTTGTGACCCTGCATGCATGCAGAAACAAGTTTGAGATCTGAGAAACATACGTGTGCGTAAATTCATGCATCCATTTCTTTGCTTGTTCACAAGAACAGCTTGTTATTATCTTTATCTCTCTCACACCTGTCATTCATTAGACACTTTCTTCAGAAGCGTTCTTAAGGAGCTTCCCGACAGAGCTCTAGTGTCGGATTATTGTCCTTTCTGGAGTGCCTGTAAACATTGATGTGTCCAAGATTTTTCCATTTCTGCAGCAAGAATCTCAGCAGCAATTCAGAGCGACCAGTGTATATGTGCATCATTTTTATTAAAAGACATTAAGTCTTTGTTTCAGTCATGTAGTAACTATTAAGCTTGACTGCACAAGGCTTGTTAGGCACTATAGAAAAATATCATACACACTTCTGGTTGTTAGAAGATAACTAATAATAGCCATGAATAAGACTAAAGTTTGAGATGTCCTTTAGATCTAAAAATAAGATTAATTACTTTTTTTCTACTAATATGAATTTTCAAATAATACATCATGATTGTGTTCAACTTATTTACAAGCGACATACTTTATATAGTGTTTTCAATACACCCTATAGATAGATTTAGCTTTGAGCACAGGTACATTGAAAAAAAATTCAAAGTTATCTTTATCACAATTTTTTTAGAAATAGACTATTTTATAGGATAATATGATACCTCTTTAGCAGTCCCCAGTATGAGCTATGCTAATTATTAATGACAAAGCTTAGATGCAGTAGATAACAACTGGTAAATATTGAAAAGTTTATTCATAATGGCCATGAAATGTGCATCAGAGGAATCCACCTAAATTTCACAGTGGCTCGTATGGCAGACAGGAAATCCAAAGGTTTTCTACAGAACACAGAGCTACAAGCTGGCACATGACAGAACAAAAACAAGTTAAATCATTGACAGGAACTTAAAGGTTAAGAAGAACTATGATTATGTTGTAGAAACTGGAAGTTTGGATGTTATTAGAACAGAAGATGATGAAACAATCTGGTGAACAAAAGGACAAATGAAGCAACAGCCCTTTATACCAGCTATGGCAAATAAGGTCAGTGAAGGTCACTTTAAATCTGAAGATGTATGCTTCCAATATTTTGCACAACAACTTTTAAGTGTCCAAGATTTTAAACTGACCAATAACAAAAAAGAAAACAAAACAGAGGTTGCCACTACAAAATACATGGAATATACATCTGGACTGTGTGTCAGCAAAAAACACAATAAACTTTACAGGCTTGAAGGTAGATTGAGTGTGAAGTGTGTGTATAAAAGTATGTATGTAGACCTTTTTGTTAAACATGTTATTAAAAAAAGACAATAATAGTTAAAAGAATGATATAAAATGAATTACATAATGCAGTCTTTAAACTCAGACAACTAAACATCTGATAAAACTGCCGGACCAGCTGCCTGAGCTGAGCAGGGAAATCCTTTACATGGAGGTAAATCAGGGGAGTCCAAACACTATCCAGACACACAAGACCACGACTTATCTGATGAGGACCAAAAACTCCCTCATCCCAATCGGGACTCGTCAGCTGTTTTGATAAAACTCTTGAATAAAGGCTGAGGTTCTTAAAAACAGAGCGCCGTGCACCACATAAAATGGGTTCAAGATCATTAAGCACAACCAGAATTCATACATAAGGTGCACTGTTGGTTTTTGAGAAAATTAAGGTATTTTAAGTGGGCCTTACAGCACGATAAATATGTTACTAGCACTAAATAACAAACAAATTATACATATATAAAATAATTATACAGAGCCAGAGCTCTGTACTGATCTATCATTAAAGTGAAAGTTGTTGTTGTAAGAGGTTTGAATAATGCAATTTTGAAGGATTAAATTACATTTATTTCAAATACATAACATCATTAGTTAAATGCTAATAGCTAGTGAAGCTAATACAGAGCAATAACAAGGAATAACAATGACATCTTGCATACAAGATAAGGAGAATGAGTTTTAAAGCAAAAGAGTAAATGCATTCCACCAGGTTTTAGTCATTCACAGAATACAAGGCAATAGAAAAGGAAACAAAACATACATAAAGGTATATATATATATTTGTCTAACCACTTGTGCCAAAACTGTTATCCAGAAAAAGTGAGTGTTAATTAAGAGAATGAAGCACATTGTAGTACATAAAGCAGTCTTTAACTTTTACGTTTGCATGCAAAGTCATTATTTACTGTTAAGATATTGCTCTGTTTGCAGTTTGTTCCACAGGCACACTGACATAGTTTGACACAAACAAACGAGTAAATGTCTGACGAAACCGCTGAAGCAGCTGTTGGAGCTGAGCAGGAATATCCATGACATGGAGGTAAACTAGTGGGTTCAAAACACTATTCAGACACACAAGACCACGACTGATCTGATGAGCACAGAAGACTCCCTCATCCCATGTTGGACGCATCCTGTGTTTTATCAGAACTCTTGAATAAAGGCTGAGGTTCTTAAAAATATGGTAGGGGATGTAACAAACTGAGAAGAGCAAAATCAAAATGAACAACAACCTTAAGCTTCTTTGTTTCACCACCTTATTAATGGTATTTTTGCGGCAGAGAACAAGAGTCACATGTCCATAGCAGCCAAGTAAGATAAGGAGTGGCACAACAAACCCAGTCAATGTCCAACCCACACTGTATTTCAGGTAATTCTCAGCATACTCTGTAGAGGTGGTATGGTGACATTTTTCAGTTCTATTTGTATGAGTGTTGTTTGCAGAGGTTTTTGGGTAGAACATATCTGGAAGACTTTGAACACTCACCAACAGCCAAACCAAAACTGAGATAGCCACAGAGAGAGTGACAGTTAATCTCCCCATCATCCTCATTGGATGGACAATAGCCAGGTACCTGTACACACTTATACAGGTGAGGAATCCAATGCTGCCGTATAAATTCAAGTTGAAGCAGAATCTTGTGATCTTGCAGAAGGCATCTCCAAAGATCCATTTATTCCTCATAAAATAGTATGCTGACAAAAATGGGAGAGTTGGCAGGAACAAAAAGTTAGCAACTCCAAGGTTCAGAAGAAACACATTAATGTGTCCAAGAATTTTCCATTTCTGAAGCAAGGACCTCACCGCCCATCCGTTAGCTCCCAGACCAATGATAAAAACAAAGGTGTAAACAGCAGGCAGAGTTACATGTTCATAGTCTGAACGAAAGAAGGAAGTTTTACTCGTCGCTATTCCTGACATGTTGTCCACACAACCTCTCTCCTTTGTAGCAGAATTAAAAGCGAAAGAAGTGAAGGGACAGCAAATGTATCTGTTGTTGCTTGAAGCCCTAAATGTTGAGTTTCAGGTTTCAGAGCTGAGATAAACATCTTTGCATCATCCCGTAACCCTCTGATTTGTTTTGATAGATCTGAACCTTTGGAATGTGGCCTCCTGTTCCTGTGGCCATTTGCTTTTTATGAACCTTATCTTTATTCCTGTTATTGTAGCCTGTTACCCCATGATCAGTGACAAAACCCTTTTAACTTTTACCTTTTTGTTCTTTGTATGTAATTAGCAACCCTTCCACTACTCTCTGTTACCCTTCTGGTATAAATAACAGTGGTCTGGTTTACCCACTCATACCCACTCTCTGTGTCTGTAAATCCATCTTATAAAGGTATACTTTGATAAGCACACCACCACAGCAAACAAAAGGAAAAAGGACCTGAAGTCAGATTTTTTTCTTCAACACATCTCATGCATCTAATTCCTTGCTTTTTCACAAAGACTGTAGATTATTTTATCTTTTTAAAAACACTGCATGAAAATATAAAATCCATCATTGTGGATACCTTTTTTGTCTTTTTTGTTTAAGTAATGAAGTAACAGCACTTTATGATATGTTAAATAAATAAAACTCAGTGTGCTTAACACAGAAAATAAAGACAGATTTGTCTTTAAACTTCCTACAAGAAATGAAAACAGTAAAACCAAAGAAAAAACAATAACTGAAAGCACTCTTAGTAGACTGAGATCTATTTCTGGGAACAGGTAAAACATTTGAATCTGATCCTTGAGAGGTCTGACTGAGCTGTAGACAGTGAGCAAGTCAGAGATGTACTGGGAATGATGGTACAGCCCCCACAGAGCCCTGATCTCAACATCATCGAGTGTGTCTGAGATTGCATTAAGAGACAGAAAGATGTGAGGAAGCTTATATCCACAGAAGATCTGTGGTTAGTTCTCCAAGATGATTGGAACAACCTACCAGTCGAGTTCGTTCAACAACTGTGTGCAAGTGTGCCTAGCAGTATATGCTGTTTTGAAGGCAAAGGGTGGTCACACCAAATATTGATTTGTCTTAGCTTTCTCTTTTGTTCATTCACTTGATGAAAATAAAAGATTAGCACTTCCATTTTTGAAAGCATTCTTTGTTTACAGTATTTTTTTTTCACCTGCCTAAAACCTTTGCACAGTGCCGTATGTCTGGATTTATTATGTGTTGTGCATTGTTTATGTTATGAAACGGCTGTGTGCAGGCAGGAAAAGGACCCAAAGTGCAGACACTCGGAGGCAAAACGTGAACTCAAAACAGATTTAATGCTAACTCCAAAAAGGTAACAAAACTGAGACTCCAAGGGTGGCAGGCGGGCTGCACAGCAAGATGAGGGCAGATCACAGCACAGACACAGAGAAACACGGGGGCTTAAATACACAGAGGGAGCAATCAGGGAATGGGAAACAGGAGGGAGACACAGCTGGGGCAAATCAGGCCTAAGGAGACAAAGGAAGCACAACCAGACACATTAACATGAGACACGGACTTTCAAAGTAAAACAGGAAACATAACACAGAGACGCATGACTTGACACAAGGATACAGCAGACAGGGGAGACAGCAACTATGGATCACAGACAGAAAACCAGAACACAAACTCTAACAAAACCCACACAGAAAACCTAAACTAAGAATAAACCTATAAACCATAAGGCACAGCTAGAATATAATGAAATAAACAAAATCAAAGAGCCAAAAACACAAAACACTGGGTCGACGACCCAGGCACCCTAACAGTTTAGTCTTCTAGCTTGGTATTATTCTCCACTGCTCCCTACTTTAGTTATCCACGTTTCTATTTCCTAGTTCATTGTCTGATTTGGTTGGTTCTCTTTCACGTCCAGTCTGTCTCTGTCTCATCTGTGTGTACGTGTGTCAGTTGTGTGTCGTCAGTTTGCTTATCATGTCTTTCATCTCTGTGTTCTGTGTTTGTCTCTTCCTGTTTTACTTTGTTAGTCTCCGTCTGCATGAGTAGTTCTTAAACCTTTGCAATATAAGTTAAAAAAATAATCTACAAATCTTAAATCAACATGAACACTTCAACACAAGACCAACTGGGGCAAGAAGCCTCTACTATACTACATGCACTTGTGTATGATATTGCCCTTCTCTCCTTTTGGGTGGCAACATTCTTAAAATTATTTATTTTTTCTATACTATTCTAGGATCTTTACATTACAATATAAAACACCTTCAGGCAACTGTTGGTGTTGTGTTGATTTTTTGTTTAATTTTCGATCATGTAAACAGTATACAAAAGTTTGTTTAGGAAAGAAAAGAAAAAATGCAATACAAAATAAAGCTAAATACAATAAACATATATAATTTAGACACTACATAAAGTACAGGTCATTATCATTTTAGCATATTTTGCCACAAAGGTAAGATAATGACATTACTGTTTAACTATAGTGTTATGAGGGTCTTGGTGGCCTCTCATAATAAGCCAAGGGGTGTGAAAGCGTGTCATAGATATTAGCTGATAAATTAATTTGAAAATGTACCAATTCTAGGCACTGCTGTCTATGTAACATCATTTTACCAGGATGCTTTACATGGAAAATAAAGGATCTTTACTTATGTATCCCACCTTTATTTATTGATTGCATTTAGCAGGAGGTGCTGTAATCATGCCACAGTTGTCCATTTCAAGGATCACAAGATATTTGCATCAGAAATAAAATATTGTTATTAAGTGGCTGCTAATGTTGACTTAGTCAAAACCAGTGAAATTTTACACAGTGTGAATACAATTACAACAAAGATGCATGCGTGTAGAGCTGGTTATGTAAAACATTTTTAAGATTTCTAACATATGGCAGACTGTGTCACAGGGACTCTGCCACTCCTTGATTTCGGCCAATTAAAGATCTGGCGAGTTCGCTGGAGCAGCTGTTGGAATCGAGTAGGGAAATCCTTTACATGGAGGTAAACCAGGGGAGTCAAAACACTGTTCAAACACACAATTCCACGACTTATTTGATGAGCCCCAAAGACTCCCTCATCCCAATCTGGACATTCCCCTTGTTTTGACAAAACTCTTGAATAAAGGCTGAGGTTCTTGAAAATATGATAGGGGATGTAACAAACCGAGAAGAGAAGGCACAAGATGAATAACAACTTTAAAACTCGTTTTTTCACCACCTCCTTTATGGTATTTGCATGACAGAGAACAAGAGTCACATGTCCATAGCAGCCAAGTAAAATAAGGAGTGGCATAACAAACCCAGTCAATGTCCAACCCACACTGTATTTCAGATAATCCTCCACATACTCGTTAGAGGTGGTATGGTAGCATTCTTCAGTTTTATTTGGTGAGATTTTGGAGAAGAAGATATCTGGAAGACTTTGAGCAATCACCAACAGCCAAACCACAACTGAGATAGCCACAGAGTGAGTCACAGTTATTCTCCCCATCATCCTCATTGGATGGACAATAGCCAGGTACCTGTACACACTTATACAGGTGAGGAATCCAATGCTGCCGTATAAATTCAGGTTGAAGCAGAATCTTGTGATCTTGCAGAAGGCATCTCCAAAGATCCATTTACTGTCCATAAAGTAGTACGCTGACAAAAATGGGAGTGTTAGCAGGAATAAAAAATTAGCAACTCCAAGGTTCAGAAGGAACAGATTAATGTGTCGAAGTTTCTTCTTTTTCTGCAGCAGAGACTTTAGTCCCAATCCATTTCCTCCCAGACCAACAATCATAACAAAGGCATAAATGGCAGGTAGAATTTTGTGTTCATGGAGTTTTAAGTTGCCTGAAGTACAGGATCTGTTATTCATTGTGCTTCTAAAGCAAAAGTCTGCACAATCTCCCCCCTTCATGGAAAGTTATATGTCATGAAAGTGAAAGAAAACACGCCCTATTTTTGTTTTTTTTGCTTTAACAATTTATATGTCATGTTCAAGCTTGAATTCCTGCCCACTGAAGCATAAGACTGAGATCTCAAGTGAATGCAACATGTCTAATAGATATGCATGCAATCTTAATCTTGCCTTTGGGCATTGTTTGGAATGTGAAAGCAAGCAGCGTATTGTTTTTGTATTTTTCAATAAATCTAAAAATGAACATCCTCACATTTTCACACAAGTTCTCAAAGTACACAAAGACACTTAAACCAAAACAAAGAAATGCAGAAATATAATATTTGAGGCCTGTCTGGTGGTGTCATGCAAGAGTGAGCAGGCATGGAATCGTAAAATTCACCAGGTGTTGCAAATGCTTTTGCAGGATAGTCAGTGTCAACAAGAACTCGTATTACTAGATGTAAACGGGAAGCTTAGGTCTCTTCCACAGAACAAGATAAAATTATTTGGAAAAGAAGATGGGGGAGGAGATAGACTGATAGTAGGTGTATCAGCTGGCATCTGTGAGGAAACCACAGTAAACAAGTGGTGGAGAGCAGGGCCGTGCAGAGAGGTTTAAAGGGCCGGGTGCTCAAAGTTAAAAAGGGGCACATTGAACCAGGCTGAATAACAACAACACACATTCATCAAGAATCTAATATGGGAAGGGCAGGGCTGTGTTGATCTGAGACTGTAGACATTAAAAAGTCCATAGGAGAGATGATAGCTGATTAAACAAGTGTCATGAGATGATAACAAAATGCAAAGACTGGTGACAGCGCTTGGAACCATAAGGCAACAAAAAACTGTGACATAAACTCGGCTCTGCCTGTGAATCACTCTTTGCTTCTCTTCTTCCTTCCATCCCATCATTTCATATATCACTGAGAACAAGGCACAACTTGCTATTGCAATAAACTATAATCTAATTATCCACACCTAACAACTCTTGCACTTAATCTATAATAAAATGATGACAGAAAAATGTTATAGCCCTGCCTTTAGTAGCCTCACACAGCTCCTGCTGTTTCCTCCTCATGTCCTTACCAGGCATATCTGGACAATGTTATATCATGAGTAA